AATTTAACGTAGCATCTGAATATGTAATGATATACAGGGCGTTCTATTTTAAAAAATGGAATTTTGGTCTGTAGCACCTACACCAAACACCCTGTATATTTAAAAATTATATCAAAATATAGCTCTCATGAACTCCTAAAACTTTTGTATGAAACATTTTTGTGTATCTCCTTCAACAAACCAGATATTGCCTGTCACATAAAATGTGGGACACCCGGTATACCTCAAGTTTTTTGGTCAGATGTAGACTTTGTTTAATGATTATTATTCTAATTGATTTTTTGGTAACTAACTAGTGGAACCACTACCTGCATTAAAAAGCGGACGAAAGTTTTCAAAAATCGGTTTGCAAAACTACTCCCTACCTCACCCAACCCCACGAACACACGGCACTGATGAAGAAATATTGTGAAACGACGAAATAATTAGTATTCAGCGAGTCTAGCTAGCCGAGCCTTCATTCCTCAACTACATTTGATAGTATCTGGGCGACTAGAGGCCACAGGCAAGAAATATTTATGACTGTACCAGAGACGCTTGGACATGAAAGCACTGGTAGTATATACATTTCCAATTTGCCGGGCAGTGATTATGAACATCCCTCGTATTGCTCTTATTTTTTTTCCGTTCCAATTGGGAACTGATAGACTATACTTATTTCCTAGCTCGGATAGGCATCTAGATGCCTGTTGTTAACTTGTCTAACTAATCTCAATGAACCAAAGTCTATCGAATGGTTTGGTTGTAAAACATAATAGGCGACTGCTGATTTTTCTGGTCTGCACAATCAAAAACTCGCTGATTCCTCGACTGAATGGACTGCCGAATGGAAGGCAGCTACGAATATCTGCGGATGGCTTCATTCCGCATGAGGTGTTAGACGTAGCCGTTTGTTCCCAAACGCCTGGAGCGAACATGATGACAGGCTTGAACATCGTTTTATAGATCGTAATTTTGTTTTTTAGGCTCAGTTTGGATCGTCTGTTGATCAGAAGGTATAGACTTTTGATCCGACCCTCGATCTTTCCCTTCACAGTTGTGATGTGCGGGTTCCAGGTGAGCCTACGGTTTATTAGAAGACCAAGGTACTTTACCCGCGCTTGCCAGTTGATCTCTCTTCCAGAGAT